CCTGCTGAATTTAAGTCCCTTTTCGGCGTGAAAGGCAAAATCAGCTTTAAAGAGTTCGTCCTTTCACTGTCAGCATTTAAGGAATATTGTAGTGGTGTGTTTTCTTTTCTTTTCTTTTTTTTTTAAGAGACAATAAATAATTTTCCTTCTCGCTGTCCTGTTGTGATTATTTCTCTCTACCCGTTCATTCAGCTCGAAAACTGATTCAAAGATTAGGAGAAGGGGCTAAAAGTCCTGGACTGAACAGCCAGACACAACCTACAGCACCTAACACTGCCGCTGTGAATCAAAATACACTCCTCTCCCGACTGATTCTCCACGGGGTATTTTCTCTTTCACTGCCCACAACGACTAGGAAAATATAGCCATTTTTACTCTACATTTCTCATTGTTTTAGCTGTCTAATTTCAGAGTCTTTGATTTTTCCCCCATTTACAATTCCGGGTGCATTCAACTGCTGTCAACAACGTTGAGTCAACAAAAGCATCCGTGGGCAACTTCTGTTTATTTACAGTCCTAATCTGATCTGCTTTCCATTTAATGGAAATTAAATGACGAGGCACTTTCAGGTTGCATTTCTCCTACAGAATCCCAAATCAATGCCATAATTAGAAGGAATGAAGGAGACGGCTTTAAAAGGAGAAAAAAAATAAATGTAAGTTTTGTTTACGCGCTTCCAAACTTAAAATTAAAATTTAAACAGTCAGTCAAGCGGTATTAAGGGCCCATTTTCAATTGCAAAATAACTTTTACGGAGCGGGCGAAAAAAAATATTAAAATATTCACCTCGCAAACCAAGACAAAATAAAATAAAAACACCGAGATACCTAAATGAAGGCCAGCATAAAAACGTGAATGAACAAGGAGCACACGAGCACAGGGCCGGGTCGCCATGTGGTGTAAACAGAGGGACAGGCGCGGGAGAAGACGATTCGCGATCTCCGAGCGGCTTCTCTCCCTTTTCCGCGCCGAGACGCGCGGGCCTGCGGGGCACGGGGCTGCGGTCGGTCCCCGAGGGACACTCCAGCCCCCGCGGAGACGCTGCCCGCGCCTCCCCGCGCGGCCTTTTTTGCCCCCCCCCCCGCCCCCGCCGCAGCGCCGCGAGGCGGCGGAACCCGCGGGCACCGGCTGCCCTGACGGAGAGAAGGAGGAGGAGGAAGAGGGCAAAGTCGCGCTCGGCGGCCGCTCCGCACTGACCTGTTCTTAGCCGCCGCGGCTCTGTCTCTTTGCCTTCGGTTTTTGAACCAGTTGCCTACTTGCGTGGGGGTGAGCCCCGTGGCCTGAGCCAGTTCCCTTTTCTTGCTGGGGTTGGGATAAGGGTCCTGAAGGTACCACTCCCTCAGGAGGCTGCGAGTCCTCTCCTTGAAGCAGTGCGTCTTCTGCTCTCCATCCCAAATGGTCCTGGGCAGTGGAAACTTCTTCCTCACCCTGTATTTATCAACCGGCCCCAGCGGGCGACCCCTTAGCTTCTCGGCCTCCTGGTAGTGCGCTTCGAGCCACATGGCCTGCAACTTGCCGTGGGACTCCTTGGTGAATTTGTGGTTCTCCAGGATGTGGTAGAGGTCTCGGAAGTTGCCCGTGTGGAAGGCGACCACTGCCCGGGCCCGCAGGATGGACTCGTGCTTGTTGATGGCCTCGCATGCCCCCGGAGCCGCCGGCAGCGACCAGAGGAACCTCCCGAGCCTCTCTATGTCTCCGGTCTCCTCCAGCGTCTCGAAGACGCT